TATCTATTATGACTGATACTTATAAGACGAACATGATGAAAACTTGAGACAGTTTATGTGAGTGTGTGCGATTTTTTGGACTTGTGTTGCAGGTAATCGTTTGATTTCAATCTGATCTAGAACAAAAAAAACCGACTTGCATCAAGGTCCCATTATGTTCAATAGACATGAAAATTTGTATTAAATATGGATTGTTTGCCATTCGGCCATCCTGAATTTGATCATGAAATTAAAGTATGTGCTAATGTATGTGAAGTTTGAATGTAATTAACCAGATGCCGACAAATAGATGCACATGGGTGAAACCATAAAACTCGTCCTGTCCCTGTTTTTTAACAACATTTGAACAAGACCCAGTTGTGGAATTTTGAATTTCTGACCGGATCTAAAATTGAATTATTGAAGAATAAACGAATAACCATTTGTATAATATAAATTTACAAATAATATTTACATACTGCATCAATGGTACATGCAATAAAAAAAAATTGGACATAACCCAAAGAGGGTATTTCCATAGTTACAGTAACTACACTGAAAATACAGTGTATGATATCAAGTGTTTCCATAGTTGAGTTTTATTTGCCAGACCACCAATATTTGCCATGCCGCAGACAGCAAATCACCACACACAAATTACCATGCAGGAAAATGTTAGTGTTTTTATAAACTTAGTTCACACACACCAAATGTATTAGCTAATACCCCTATATTCTAAAATAGAATAATCCAGTCATGCTTGATCATTCTAAATCAGGAAAATACAAATTCAGAAAAAAATAAAAATTTGAGATGAGCAATTCAAAATGTTGCAAATAAAACTGAGTTGATATTCATTATATTACATTATATTCACACACTAAACCAAGTTTGTATAGTATTATGCAAATAAGGTATGTGTGTTATTATGCAAATTAGGTATCCATATTATTATGCAAAATAGGCATAAATTAAACTGCATATGCAATTTAAAAATTTGTAAAATTGACCCTTTCACTACCATTGTTGAATTTTGTGATCTATATTATTTTGCTGTCAGAAATCTGCTGATTTCAACTCAAAATTCAAAATAATTGGTCAAAAACTATGTTATGCAACTATATTTCCGTCGTTTAGGTTCAAAATTAGTGTTTAATTTATTTTAATATAAATTGCAAACATTTGGACCAACATTTGACAAGAAAATGATCAGGCTGTGAGAGGGTCAAACCATGACTGAAAATTGTTGAGTACTTTATAATATATGAAAAAATACAGTGAGAAACAGGAAAAAAATACAGTGAGAAACAGGAAAAAAATATAGTGAGAAACAGGAAAACAATACAGTGAGAAACAGGAAAAAATACAGTGAGAAACAGGAAAAAAATACAGTGAGAAACAGGAAAAAAATACAGTGAGAAACAGGAAAAAAATACAGTGAGAAACAGGAAAAAAATGCAGCAAAGCAACACACTGCGGTGATATCAGCAATTCTCTAAGAGGGAAATGCAGAGGAAAACAGGATCAAATAACAGAAGATGACTGTAAAAAACGTCTTTGCAAAATCAATTATTTGTTTTTCTCTCGACAGCATACAGTGCTTTGCATAATTAATCATCGCTTTTTAATTTTAATTTTCTAAACGCCCGTTGTCAGCATGAATAAATGTTGATTACTATTGCAATACAGAGTATACAGTGTGTGTATATCTACATCTCAACTAGAGTGGATGACATTATAAAGAGTAAAGTAATTTTAAGTCATCTTCTGTCATGCACATGTTAATGGAGTTAAGGTCAATAGTGAGGGGAGTAATCATTCTCTTACCGGGGCTGCCACTGCCTACGCTGCCATTCCCAAAGCTAGTATAACTGGCGGTATCAAAGCTTGGTGGCATCTGGCTGTAACCTGCGGTTTGTGGCGTATAGTTACCTCCATAGCCGGGAATAGGTAGTGGACTAGGACCCATCCATGGGGCTTGTGGTAACGGTGCCAATGTGTCTTGATCAACCTCGGTGCCATCGTCATTTACAGACAGGGAGGTCATGTCTGAAATTGAAAAAAATTTGGATTTGAAGCAATACTTATTTGCAACCAGTCGGTTTGCTGTAATATCTATATATCATAGAAGTAATCATTGTTAAGTACTTAGTAATTCAGAGAATGTGGGATCTTGCAAGCAATAGTTTTAGATGAAAAACAAGCAGCCTATCGGCTGAGATAGCTCCGCTGTTAGCAATGCACATTTCAATTAAAGAACTGAAGACATTAGAAAATGAACAATATGTATAGTATCAAAGCAATCGGACTTGCTGTTTTCAACAAGAATTCAAAAATATCACTTTTACAAAAAATTACAAAAATATTCACCAAAATTAGAGAATTTAAGATATCATCGCGAAATTAACAAATCTGAGAGAGGTCCACATGTAGTACCTATATATGTAGTATCAAAGTAATTGGATTTGCGGTTTTTAACAAGAAGTCGAAAATATCACTTTTTACCAAAAATGACAAAAATATTCATCAAAATTAGAGAATTGAAGATATCAACATGAAATGAACAAACCTAAGAGAGGTCTACCCAAGGTACATATACACCAAGTATCAAAGCATTCAGGCTTGCAGTTTTCAAGAAGAAGTCGAAAAAGTAAAACATTGACACGGACGACGACGACAGACAATCACTCATATGATAAGCTCCGCTCGACAAAGTCGACAGTGGAGCTAAAAAAAGTAATTAAATTACACTTACTTCCACAGAGGTCACCAAAAACATAATAACACTGCTCTGAGAAAGTAATCTTATTGACTGTATGGCGAATAAATCTCTCCCGCAGCAAATTACAAGCATATTTTCTAGCTTCTCTACGATCTGCGAAACCTTCCACATGTGAGTATAGCCATTCAACTAAATCAGAACCTGAAAATATTTAACACATGTATAAAGTTGAGTTGGAACATAATTTGACATGTTGAAAAAAACCTGTCAACAAGCTTCTCTCTTATTGGTCTGACTGTTGGGTGTTGGCAAGCCAATCATTGACTCCAAGCGTACAATTATTACCATTATGTAGTATACATTAAGCATACTGACCTGCACTACAAACCATGTTGACCATTTGAATGCTGAGTCTTGTTACAAATGCATAATTTTATTATGAAGTAAAAAGGCATTTGGGAGGCAGAAAGAAGTTCTGAATTTGCCTTTTCATTCAAAATGGAATCCTAATTTTACAACTACAACACATGACAATTGCAAAGCTAATAAGAATAAACACTTGCCTATAAATGCATTTGATATAGTAATTTTCAACCACATTCTGTCACGTATTTCTAACCCTGAATCTGGAGCTGCCATTGCCCTGACAACAGTTGCCATGTCACTATTAACTGTTAGATGCCCAAAATCTTCAAAACCTAGGTAAAACAAAAATAAACATTGGAAAATTTTACATTAACTAAAAACATATTTAATTGTTATACAAAATATGAAAATGTCTTTCAGTAAATATATCAGAATGATGGTAAAACATTATTCCATTCTACTTAAAATTTTGCTTTTGGGTTGATAAATAAGTGGAAGTAAATATTTGTCGAAAAATTGGACATGCAATAAGAAATGAAAAATTAAAGCTGCAAGCAGCGTCACCGGGGCCCAAGCTGACAAGATTCTGTTTCATAATTAATGTGGTCACATGTTAGACAATCGGATAGCTTGAATTATCAGTAACATGAGGTCAAAATGAAGTTGGTACCATGTATTTACCTGGTTTGGTTATCGAAATATGGTTTTCAGGATATATAATGAGCCATGTTCTTATGCACAATAATGAGATTACATAATAATATATAGCCATTTCTAATGTCAGTTACATCTTTCATTCAATGTCTTCATAATGACACGAGTTAAGTGTCCTGCTCTGCGACAGTGTTTTAGATATGACTGCTTTGCATATTAATGAGTTCACATGACCATATATGGTCATCTGTTATTTTAATCAAATCTCAGGTTCACTGTTGTCATGATAACACAGGAATCATCTTCCTAACTACAACAGTGTTTGATATATAATGGTTATGCATATTAATGAGTTCACATGACCATATATGGTAATCTGTTATTTTAATGAAATCAATTGTTTAATGTTGTCATAATAACACAGGTTTCATCTTCCTAACTCCAACAGTGCTTGAGATATATCAGTTATGCATTTTAATGAGGTTAGAAGCCCCCACCCC